CTAATGTACAATAATAATAAAAACCAGAAATATGAATGATGAGAAGGAATAATGACTCGGAAAAACAACACGGATTCTATTTATATATGGAAGATCACAAAGAGTGGATGCATCTGTTCCCGCAATCAGTCATTGCGAACGATTTCGAGCTATATCAGTGATTTTCTTTAATGATTGATTGATTCTAGCTAGCTAGCTAGCTAGCCAGCCATGCAGGAAAGTGTAGGCTGACTAGTTTCCTGGTTAGCGTCCTTAGGAGAGTCATCGGCAGTACGCAGTTATTGGGTTTCGCACCGTCGCAAGCCCGTATACAATTCAGCCACTGGAACCCAATTCAACGGCTAGGTCATGAATTCTAATTTCTACCAACTAGTAACAGTTGCCAGTTTCTACCGAACTTAGCTACTGAATTCACCACCCATCTGTCCCTCTGTATACTTATCGAAGTAATCACGACAGGCAAATCATACAACTTTTTTGCTGGTCAATGGTAATACACTGACAAGTCTTTATGTGAATTTTTATCGTGAGTTTTTGTTTTTGACTTTCCAGTTCGCGTAATTAACCATTCCGAACTGAGGGTGGTTTGAACTGACTCAGCTATTTTGAGCTAAGTCAAACTTGGCACACCTCTGATGAGCTTGACCTTAAAGTAGCCGGGACGGCCATCGGGTATTGAGATCACTTTGATAATCTGATTAGCAAGCACTAATGTTTGATGTCAGTGGCTTCCATCTACTTATATCAATCCATCAGTAGCATATAACAGCAGATTAGTTTCGTCTTTTTATTCACTATCAAACTATCGCTTGTTTAAATTTTTTATACGCATCGACTGAGATAGTTAGGACATGTGTTACGTATACATGCCTAGTAATCGCCTTCCTCGAGAATGGGCAGTGTTAGCTGACTGACATAGGGTCAGGCTGGAAAAGAGCTAGCGGAGGTCAAACAAAAACACGGTTTCACCAGTCAATGAAATCCACAACAGTTAGTCCAAGCCACGTAGGAAGGTATAGACTTCGTGACTGGTTGGGGTCCTTGGGACTGTAAAAAGCAATGGCTGGAAACAATTGGTGACATAGCTCAAAATCGTTTTCAATGGCTGGCTGGTGCAGATGCATCCACTCCTTGTGACTTATAATTTCCAATGATACTGTTTTGTTCTTCGTTATTACTATTCCTTTGTCTCACACCTCTGTTTACTGTTTCTATTATACATTTCTTCTACTTTCTTCTGGTGGTTTGTGTGCTACATGGAGTGGAGTGTGGCGACTTCAACTGGTGCCCATCGGTGCAAAGTTCTATGTCGAAAACAGACAGGCAGACAGCTGTTTTATACACATATATTCAACATATTTTTATACAATTCCTGGTAAGAAAGCCACATGCCTATTGTTTAAGGTTTAGTGATGCAAGTGCATGACAATATAAACCTCAATAGGTGGTACGCGATTCGAACTTGTGACCAAGGTAAACTTCAAGCACCACTAACAACCAGTGGAGGGTGGACCACACCAATGACCTTGAAACACACACTGAGCAAGTTAGTGAGACGTGCCAAATAAATCATGTTGTCATCATCAATAAAATATGCTCATCGAAGTGTGTTATGTTATTAAATGGGATATCAGGCAAGTTACACCTTAGATTATGCAGACGATATAGTCCTTCTAGGCGAAGACGCTGACGAAATGCAGAGTCTTCTAAACACCTTGAGCCGCAATCTACGAATGTTTGGCATGCGATTCGCTCCCACCAAATGCAAGATGATGTTACAGGACTGGACTACATCGACGCCTAGTTTAAAAATAGAAAGTGAAGTGGTAGAGCACGTTGACCGCTTCACTTATTTGGGAGGTACCATCAGCCCCAACGGGCTGATCTCTGACGAAATCTCAGCACGAATACAAGGGGCTCGTTTCGCATTTGTTAGTTTACGCCGACTCTGGCGTAGACGAGATGTTCGACTATCGACCAAAGGGCGGGTGTACTGCTCATCAGTCCGCTCCGTCCTCCTTTATGGTTGTGAGACGTGGCCACTGAGAGTGGAAGACATGAAAAGACTAGCTGTCTTTGATCATAGGTGCCTGCGTTCTATTTCCCGTGTAAAGTGGCATAATAAGGTGAGCAACATTGAAGTTAGGCGTAGAGTTCTAGGTAAACAGGGGAAATCAATCGACGAAGTCGTGAAGCTACAAAGACTTAGATGGTTAGGACATGTGTTACGTATGCCAAGCCATCGCCTCCCTCGACGAGCAATGTTAGCGGATATAGGGTCAGGCTGGAAAAAAGCTAGCGGCGGTCAAACAAAAACTTGGCACCAATCAATGAAATCCACAACAGTTGGTCTTAGCCACATAGGAAGGTGTAGACTTCCTGGCTGGGGTCCTCGGGACGGTAAAAATCTATGGTTGGAAACAATTGGTGACATGGCTCAAAGTCGTTCTCAATGGCTGGTGCAGATGCATCCACTCCCTGTGACTTATGATCTTCAATGAAACTGTTTTGTATTTCTTTATTACTCTTTTGTCTCACACCTCTGCTCACTGTTTCTATTATGCTTTTCTTGTACTTTCTTCTCTTGCTTCGCGTGCTACACGGAGGGAGTGTGGCGACTTGAACTTCCGCACATTTGTGCAAAGTTCTATGTCGAAAACAGACAGACAGACAGACACCTTAGATTTGCGAAAGATTAAGTTACTCTTTAGGCAAAGGACAAGTTAGTTTAGAGATATTTTCACGTTAGAGTTAGGTTCTGAAACAATAAGGGTTATTGTTAGGCTTAGAAGACCTAAATAATTAGAATGCGGTTAAATTACTCTGTTGATATAAGAATAGAACTTTTGCACTGTGGCGGTAGAGTATAATTCCTTTGTGGATAAACTTCATTTTGATAAAGTCTCACAGTCTTATACATAAATTTTTACTCACAATGGAATTCTACTCTGTTGATACTCCAACGTAAAACTGAGAGCTATTTTTTATCACATGTGAGAGGAAGGTATCCTCTGTAACACTTTTATACAGTTTTAATAAATTTTTTACTTCATAAATATATGTGTATTCCATACACAAAAATGCCTCCTTCACGTGAGTGATGCGTTCGAGGTCATTCGTTGATTGGTGGTGGTAGTTAGTGGTGCTTAAAGTTTAACTTTGTCGAACTTGCTATCCAGTGATTAGAAAGTGAAAGCTGTCTAAACCGATGAGTCATAGTGACACGCTTAGAGATATTTAATAAAATTTGAACTGCCATACCCATGAGGAATCATTTTACTACCACTTATTATTATATAGTTTACATCTGATAAAACTGATAACATTTTACCGATGTAGTCTTGGCGATCCATCAGGACAATGCCAGGACCTTTGTCGGGGCAGAGATTCTAAAGAACAAAGACTTGGTGGTGACACACCCCGACAAAGGTCCTGGCATTGTCCTGATGGATCGTCAAGACTACATTGGTAAAATGTTTTCAGTCTTGTCAGATGAAAACAAATTTTCAAGAGAGAGTAGCCAGAAAAATCAAACAGAACAAATTGAAAGCAAGCTAGCACAAATGCTGAAGAATATGAAGAACGAATCGATTATCACCTCTGAATTATTCGAGCAAATACGACCTTCTGGTTCCGTATTCCACCGTTCATATTATTTATCTAAATCCGTATGTCTAAGAACTTAACCCTAAGTTCCTATTATGTGCGAAGACGCTCCGAACCGATAATTAGTATGACTTCAAAACACCAGTACTTTAAGAAAGTTGTATTGTTTAGCAATTAAAGTCTAGCTAAGTACAAGTCTATAAATAAATGTTTTATAAATGAATATAATGTACTTTTATTCGTATTCTTTCGTCTTCTTCCAACTTGTACACGATTGAACTATTCGCGCCTTCGAGTTGCCCGCCAACGGCTACCAGTTCCAATAAACAAAGGTTCAATGTTCACGTCCATTGACACCGTAGCATTCCTAATGGAATGAATATCGGGCTTCAGGATTGAGGTTTAGAGTTTCGGTAAAAGTGGTGTGTTGATTTTTTTATGGGGAGGGGGATTGCTAGCCTCTCACCCAACCTTCAGTCTCTACCGGGAAGTACTACCGACTAGGCGATGTTGAGGAGTCCGTTTGTAGATATTCGAACGCGTCACAGCTTTCAGTGTCATTGACGACTATTCTACCACCGAATCAGTCGATGCTTCCTTCAGTAAATCGTAAAGAATGATGAAAGTAGCATACTGAAGAAGCTCGTTGAAAACAGCGAAATAAATTGGCTCGATTAAATTTGTTTAGTATTGGAATCACTTTTTGCAGGGGATAACAGAAACGATTTGTTAAATTGGTTATTAAATGCAGACTAGTTCGTGTACATTATTCAGTCTTACAGGGTGATCAGTTATAGCTTATTTAGACTAATAATACTGCCTTCCATGAAGTGGGTGCCGATCTTCTCTAGTCTGAATCATAGTGATATTTTACTGTAGGTCACATATATACTTATTACGTGTAAATGCAAACAGAGGTACAAAGCTTATGTCATAAGTTTCCTGCTAATTGATGGCTAAAAGTAAAAGACATATTAGTACTACTACTGTGATGAGACCTGTCTGCAAGCCAAAATTGCCGACAGCAATTGAAGTCAATGTTACATCCTCAATCGGGGTCATGAGAAAAACCAATAAAAAGGCTTAACCTTGAGGGACTCACCAACCAATCACAGCAGACTTAACATGTACAAATACAATTCGTAGATATATGGCTTAACTTTCTAAGAAACGGTCACAAACGGTACAGAATAACCTTCAGCAAGAAAACAACCAATCAGAAGACGTTGCTACTCCGCTGACAATAATGTACCTAAGCATTTATAAATACCTCTCTTGATTTTCTCAATAAACGATCTATTGCCTGCCTGACCCGTGGCTTCTGTTGTTACACTATTACCACATAGTTATGCGGTTTCGTGTTTTATTCTTCATTTTTTCTCTCTTTTTTCCAGTGCCAAAGATGAAGAAGCTAATACGCTATACCATATGGGTCAATGGGCAAACTATGCTATCCTTCTACTTCAAGGACGTGCTACAGTTGAAATTGGTGCTGAAGGACTTGTCTTTGAAGCTGGCCCGTTTGTTATGTTTGGTGAAACTGTTTTAAGGCGTAAGTTATTTTAGAGAGATAAAAGTGTATATATGTGTATAAAAGATCACGAGTAGTCAGCTGTTTTGATGTGGTTTTGTCCTCTGAGCTGGATAGTTAATTTGCGAAGCTTTCATCGCCCTACTAGGCGACATCTTCAGAGCATACTTCAATTTCTTGAAGTGTGCTTTTAGATTTCTTCACGAGTTTATTAATCATCTCTCCTGGTGACCTTGGAAGTGATTGGTTGTTTTTGTGTGTTTTCACATCTTCTAGATTACTTGTATTGGAAGTGATTGTTTCTTTTGGCTTGAACTTTTACCCTTTCATCGCCCTACTAGGCGATGAAATCTTTGCAAATTAACCATCCAGCTCAGAGAGCACAACCAAATCAAAATCATCCACCTGAGCTACACAAATCTTCTCTATCATATCTGTAGTCAGCAGTTCTATGGTAGAATCCTTGCCTAACATATACGTGGTCTGGAGTGGAGTTCGATTCCCACCCGACGTAGTCGTTAACCTTGTCCAGTTTACTAATCAACTATATACCTGGTAAAGTTGGAAGTTTGGGTGTGAGGCTAGCAACCTCATCCGGCAAGCTTGAAGCTCTGTCACTTCAATCAAAACGTAAAGGAATGAAGGAAGTATACAGAGGAGCAACGAACAGACAACTATAATAATTCAAGTATTGGTTTGTAGGGGTTTGGTTGATTAGTCACAGGATTTCATCATGAGCTGACATCGGTTAGAGTACCATTGGAAAACCATCAGAGAGTACTGGACAGTTGTTTGGTCCTAGTTTGTGACTCTTCATCAGTACTAACCCACCGAGCTTTGAACCCACGACCTTCTGGTTACAAGGCGAGCTCGGTGAGTGTGTACTGATGAAGAGTTCCAAACCAGACGGACGAAACAGCTATCCAGTACTCCCAGGTTTCCTAGTGGTTCTTTAATTAATGTCAGCTCATGATGAAATCCTGTAAGCAATCAACTAAATCCCTGCAAACCAACACTTGAATATCGATGAGATGCTCACTGGCAACTGGCCTCATTCAGGTAGTTGGCAGTTACCTGGGGTTCTAGTGGGAAGTCGTGACCAGTAGTAGGGTGCAGTAGGTAGGGTGTGAGGACATATACTCGCCGAAGAAATTAGCCAGCGGTCACGCTATATCGTGAATTGGCAGAAGTTAGAATTATTGCGTTGGCCATTGGATCGGGTCCCAGTGGCTTAATGGTCTACGAGCTAGCTCGCCTTGTACACAGAAGGTCCTGGGTTTGAACCTTAGTGTTGGGGGTGGATTGCTGATGAGTCCAAAACTAGGAGTGGAGAAGCAGCTGTCCAATGGTTCTCTATCCAATGTCAGTTCATGATGAAATCCTGTAACCATTTTTAAAAGAATATTTCATCTGACTTTTTACATTAAGAAGTTAAGGCACTCAGGCATAACCCAACCACTCCTTCTCTAACAGTCTGTCAACTCGTATATCTTACCTATTCTTCTTTACTGTTCACCCTTGCTTATTCTTTCCTGGATTGCTTAAAAAAGACCATGTCATACATACTTCGTAGAACTCTGAAGACTGTCAGTAGGACAAGTGGTATCCTATTGGGCCATATCGTTAGCATTGTGACTGATAGGCACTTGATGTCATGCAACAAATTTGCTAAAGGACTCTGAGTGCCCACCCTACTCGCAGCTCCAACCTTGTCTCCTCAGGTAAAACAAGAATTCATTTCATCAAAAGACTTTATGCACGTACGCCTAAGTATAAAAATTCCATGACACCATATTTGGTGTCATGTACTTTATGTGATGAAAATGGTGTCAAGCATGGACTAACTAACCTTCTTCGCACTACTTAATAAACCATTTCCTCTACCCTTACACCATCAAACTTTATTGTTATTGTATTTCTTACATTTATAATCCTCTCAATTTTTTGTTTTTATTTATTTATTTTTTATATGTGTGAATAACTGTTAATTTTGTATTTCCCCTCACCATGCTACTATATCAACAGAACATTAGATCCAATAATCTATAGTAACATGCTAAAATTTCTAAACTGAATTGACAATACTGTTTGAAACAAACTGTTATATTATTATTGTTATATTTAATACTCTCAATTCGTGCTTCGAATACTTTTGACTTGATATCGTAAACGTGGACTAATCCCTCTGGTTAATTTTTGTTTTAATTTTTAATTTTATTTATATTTTAAGTGTAAATCAAATGGAATATTGTGACAAATGCAGAGAATTTCATTCTGTATTACAAGTACTGTTTTTGGAATGAAGGAGATTATTATTATTATTATTATTATTATTATATAATTTCACATACTCCATTTTCCGACATTATGTTTTGATCTGGATTGTTGTCTTTTTGTTTTTCATCCTTGTAACAACAGGTGTCAATGAATTGTTTCCGAATCTATCAGAGATTATGGATCCATCAGTTCAGTCGGCACGTTTAGCCTCTGAAGCTCGATTCCTACCAGATTATGATTTAAAAGCTTCAACAAATTTACAATATTTAAAAATATCCGCTGAACATTATCTACTGGCTAGACGTTTAAGTATCCTGCATCAACGAGCTAATATACGTAAGATTTACAATAGAATAAATAGAATAATTTCTAATATATACTAGTGTATTATTTATAACATTTAGAATTCAGCTTTTCTCCTCTTCTTTCATTGATTGACTTTTGATGTATATCACAGTAGCTGGAGGTGTGAACTCAACATCCTCAATTAGCTAACTCTTATTACCCATTTAGATTGTCGTACATACACTAAGATCTACAGGTGGAAAGCCAGCAGGTTGACAGAAGAGACAAAGAAGACAGGATTTCAGGTGAAACATAGTGAAGACAGCGGTGATGAATATGTGTAACCACCACCACCAACAACAACGAACGTCACACACCATCAGCATTAGAAATGTTAAAATGTTTTATCTCTTTTGCTTACCCAGACAGCGGAATCGTTTCAGCTACACGCAGGACTCCAGAGGTATTTAAGTACGGTGGAGACAGTTTACTGTCTACATTAACTGAGGTACTAGGCAGCATCCGGGAATCAGAGGAAGTCCCGTTGGCTTGGTGTAAGTCATTGATTATCCCTATATACAAGAAGGGAGACAAATCTTCCTATGATAATCACCGGGGGATTAGCTTGACTAATATGATATTTCAAGTTCTAGGTTCAATAATAATGCGTAGGCTAAGTGGTCTACGGGAGAAACAAATACTAGAGAACCAGACAGGCCTTAGACCAGGAAGAGGGTGTATTGATCATATCTTAACCCTTTGACAGATTCTCGAACATAGACATGCTTACCGTCGGTGTACAAAAATCGTTAGATTTTTTGACCTGAAGGCGGTATTCAATTCTGTCGACCGAATTCTGTTGACATTTACACCTCTTTTAACCCTTTCTATAAAACGTGTTTGGGGCGTATCCTAAAGGTTGTGGAAGCCGAGCAATCCAAGAAGTTAAAACCACCTTCATGCTTTGAAAATCAATTCGACTTCACATTAAAGTTTCCTTGGTTAAGTTTATTTTGTCTTTATGAGTTTGACCACGGATTGATGTCAGTTAAAGAACCATTGAAAATCAGGGAGTGATGGACAGTTGTTTCATTCTGTTAGTTTCGGAATGATTGGCAGTACACACCCACTGCCAGGGTTCGAATCAATTACCTTCCAGTTACAAGGCCAGCGAGCTCGTATATTTTTCAGCCACTGGGACCCGATTCACTCAATGGCCAGAATGTGAATTCAAACTTCTACCAATTCGTAATTTAGCGCTACCACCAACCATCGGGTCTCATTGGCTGAATAGTATACGAGCATGGCTTGTAACCGGAAGGTCCTGGGTTCGAACCCTGGCATTGGATGCGTACTGCCGATAATTCCCAAACTAGGATGAAACAGCTGTCGAGTACTAAGTGTTGGTTTTCAATGGTTTTTTAACTGATATCGATCCGTGGTCAAACTCGTAAAAAAAACAAATCTAATCCTTACAAAGCAACTATAGGAAATAACTTTATTTTGATACCAGGGCAGATGTACTATTATTACCACCCTTCTTTGGTTTAGTGATCTTTATTGTTATTTTGACCTTCATTATATGTCCTTTTAACTTGACCTAAATTTATTCTCTCAACTCTTAATTGTTTATTATTTTCATAAATATACGTGTTCCTATGATAAGTCCGTGTGTGATCAGATTGTTCAAAATGTATATTTTTAATTGGACACTAGTCAGTAACCAGTGTAATGTGTCTACTTCTATCTTTGGTGCAGACTGAATTTGTATTCGTCAAGTTTGTAATGTGGCCACCGTGCTGATTGGCTCGCCATTACGATTCACTGTGGATTTTTTGTATCAGGTGGTTGGACGCAATAGGCAGAATGCCTTGCGTGAACTAGGTTTCGTGCTAGTTGGAACTGATTATCAAGGCACATCTGCGACCTTTAAGGAACTCATGTCCCTTCTGAGATGTAACCAGAGATGTTACTCCCACTGAGCTATTCGTGCTGTCTCGCGATTGATTTCCTGACCTCAGAAGGGACATGAATTCCTTCAAGGTTGCAGATACGCTTTGCTGATGATTTGGTAACTAGCACAAAATCTAGGTCAGACAAGGCTTCTTGTGGCTGATTGCCTTCGACCATCTAATGTTCAAAATGTGTTGCTCAAATACACATTACACAATTCAGATAAATTAAATCTTCTTATTGCTTCGTCTAAATTCATAAAGGGAACCCTAATTGTTTCATATACCACTTATTGATGTTAATATCATCATTTTCAGCTTATGGTGCTATCAGACACCGTTGGAATGCTTAACATCATAGTGGCCTGTTGTTATGTTGTCAGAATACTGAAAGGGAATCATGAATGAGTGCGCAGGGCTAAGTATTCACTCTGTAAATGAACTGTTAAACTGGTGAATGGTGACTAGCAGTGGAATTCCAGATAACTCGCATTTCGTCCTATCGGGGACTCGTCCGTCTGCATTCCCCAGTGAGTGATGATGTTCCCACCGAGGCTCGAACCTAGTCAATGCCCATAGTTTCAAACGCCAAAGAGTTATCCACTAGACCACTTGAGCCACGGGAGCCACCTCTATTGCAATGGGTCATGCAGGTACATCCAGTTAACTGACGAGTCCCAAATAGGACGAAATGCGCGTTATCCTGGATTCCACTGCTAGTCACCATCCACCAGTTAAAATTCTAATTAAATGCCCTGACATCGTCGAAGCATTTTCACAAGAAGCCGACATGTCAACCTGAGACCGATCACTTCAGTCCAATCAATCGATTTTTATTTTTGCTTTCAATTGTCTTCATCTTCTTGTTTCTTTCTTTCTTTTTCTACAGCTGGTGATGTAACAGCTAAATATTCTCTGAATTTGTCTGAGAAATTCAATGAAACCAAATCATTTAATAATATAGCTGGATTAATTGGTCCAATCACTTACGGTTGTCATGATATGTTTCAAAATGCTTGGAATCGTCATATTGATCGTTTACAAAAATCATCATTAGCTGCAGCATATGCTGCTACGCTGGAAGATAATCATCAACTTGGTGATGGAGGCAACCTCGGTGTTGGCGGTGGGAATCCAAATGTTTGTGCATCCATTACACCGACTAGAGATGTTATCACTCCTGAAAATCATATCCAAAATGATGATATTAATCCGGATAGTACGACAAATCCAACACATATTTCTAATGTTACTTCAACTACCAGTACTAGTAGTTCTATGAATACTCCAGTGTCTACGATGAATACAACTGGTATATCAAAAACACCGTCTATCGTTAGGCAATCATCAAACACTGTACTCAGTGATGCTAATAGTAATAATAATAATATTAATAACAATAATAATAATCCTAATGGTATGCTTAATAGTACTTATAGTAGTACTAATAATAGTAGTAGTGATAATAACAATAATAATATTAGTAGTAATCTGAAATCCGCATCTAAACATTATGTATCTGATGAAGACTTAAATTCTGCGAAACCAGAAGAACTACAAGCATTTGTAACACCGTCTAGTTTACCTTCAAATATTTCATTATCTAGTCGTCATGATGGAATTACACATGTGTAGGGTGTAAGTGAGTGAGTGAGTGGGTGGGTGAGTGCATCCTCATACTTATTCATGCACTAGCCTTCTACACTCAAGTTATACAACACAATGTGCAACACATAACCAATCCTATTTCATCACTCACTCACTCATACATTCATTTATTTTGTTTTTAATGAGAATCCTGTTCTATACTTACTACTACCAACACCCGTATAGGGTTCCCTTCCCAATTATTGATTAATTAGTGGTGTTGTGAATGCTGGCTGGGTCAAGTTGTTTGATGGTTTTGCCTTTTTTGTGGGCACAGTTTGATTGATATATGGATAGATAGATGTTTTTATTTGTGATTTTGTTATATACTACTGATATTACTATTAGTAGTAGTATTGTTGTTACTCTTCAAATTAGATTCTTCTGTGAGTGGAGTATTTTATAGCCAACACTAGTATATATACTGATCATGTGCATTCCATAAATACCGTAGAGGCATACTAAATTCTACTATCGCCTGCCCTTTTTCCTTTTCTCTTTATTTTGTTGTTGTTGTTGTTGGGTTATTCTATTTTCTGAGGCTGATGCTGCCTTCGCTAGATGATGGTTACTTTCTCAAAGTTATGTAATTATCAGGGGGTGAGTGGGATGGAGAAACTGTCACTCGCTGTACATTGAACCTATATATGTCTTTAATTGCACTTATTGCCTATCTATAGATGTATATATAGATATATATTTATATGTTATCGATTTCACCTCCCAGAAATACTCTTGTCTTATCAACTTGTACTCAAGCTAGACAGTTCTTCTTTCATTACAATATCATTATTATTATTACATAATTGTGGCTGCCCTCTCTCAGTTCATCTTTATTTTGGTGTATGTGTGTGTATATATATGTGTGCATTTTGTGGGCATACATACACATGCATATGTACCTTTGTCTCTGTTTCATTTTATATGAGAACAACGGTGACGAATGACGACGAGGCATGAGGGGGGTGGCGGGCTGAATAGGCGTGAAAGCATACGAGATACTGCCTTCTGCACAACAGTCTTTGCATTCTTATTTTTCGTCTTGTAGCTGTTATTGGCAGATGTCTTCTTCTTATTATTATCTTTTATTATTATTAAATATCTTAGGCATTTTGAAAGCTATTCACATGGATTCTATGTTTACTGTTATATCTATCACAGTAGTACTTATTGCCAAAGAAAGAGAGTGTGTATGTATGTATGTATGGGTGTTGATTTATTGTGGGTGCTTTTTATTCCTTTACGTTCCCGCATTGGAACATAGAATTGCTTCAAGCTAGATAGAGGCTTGAAGTTTCAATAGCTGTGGTTGGTATTTATTTTTACGGGATTGGGGGGTCGCTAGCCTCACTTGGCGGCAACCCCCCTCCCCCAATTTTCCTTCTTTAGCAGCCTTATTACTCGCTTAGAGAGGTAAATGAGTGAGTGCATTGGGTGGCTGGGGAGTCGAACTTCAAACCATCTGCATGGTTGGTGAGCATCCTACCGCTTTACCCACCGACCCACTATCTATGTATTGTTTACTTACCTACTTTGCCTATCTATCTATCTGTCTATCCTACCTACCTACTCTACTTATCCTATTCGATTCCATTCTATCCTACATCTATCTGTGTATACAGGATATATATAAATAAATAAATAAAATTTTGTATATACATATGTAGTTCTTTTAGACTGTTCAATGGTTTCCCATTGTTATTTAATATGAGATATTCATATAGATTGTAATTTACTTAAACTTGTTTGTTTTTTTCTTTCTGACATACGTCTGGGTCGTTGGTTTGTTGTTGTTGTTTATTGTTTATGTACATCAGAATATGATGGAAACAGGGTCATGCATATGTGTGTGTAGGCTGTGCTATGCCGGGGGGGGAGGGCGCGGGATTTTACTTAACTTTTTGTTCTTCTTCCTTCGCCTACACACAAATCGTCTCTCGGTCACTCTCTCGCTTCCTCCCTGTCTCTCTCTCTCCCTCTCCCATTTTATATTGAATCAATGAAGATTCTTCGATGAGGGTGACCAGAAGCAATGAAGTCTTTGAATATATATGCGCAAAATACTAATTAATAAAAGAAAAAAATTGAAGAGATTTCCCATCTTAACTACTTTATTCATGTAATTCTACATTATTGATGAAGTTATTTCCAAATCTTATGTAAGAATTTCTCTTTCCAGCCTTATTATTACTATTACTATTTTTATTATTGTTATTATTATACACTTGTACATTTTGATAATATATATATATATATATAATTAGTAATAACAAGTATTGCTATTACTATTATTATTCCCTTTGGTCCTCGAACAATGAACACATAGGGCTTCAATAGAACATCTCCCTTTCTTAATAATAATAATAATAATTTACTTTGTTACCAAAACAGTACTTGTAATACAGAATGGAATTTTCAGCATTAATCACACACAATATTCCATCTAATATCCTCAAATTATAAATAAAAATTAGTCACACAGAAAATTTTCTACATTTACAATATGGGCAATGTCAGAAACATGCAGCATATAAAGTGGAAATAATAATAATAATGATAACAGCTAGGGTAATAATAATAATAAGAATACAAGTGAAAATTACCGTTGGTTTGTGTCACACACTTTTGGCAATGTGGTATAGAAATCCTAGCATGTTTAAAAATATTGAATATAATGTTCTCTTTACATGATATGGTGAGAGGAAAAGCAAAGATTACAGCAGTCATAGAGATAAGTTGGTGCTTGCAATTATGAGAGTAAAACAAAGAAGCAACAGGACCGTAAATATAATAGAAATAATAAAAGTAAAACTTGAAGGTATATAAGGATGGATGGAGGAAATTGTTTATTTACTAGATGAAAAAAGGTTAGTTAATTCTTTCCTGACACTATTTTCGTCACATAAAATACGTTCCAAGTATGGTATCATAGAATTTCTATACTTAGACTTGCGAGCATACAGTTTTCTGAAGTTACTCCTTGTTTTACCTGAGGAGATGCAAAGTGAAAGCTGAGGGTAAAGCGGATGCTCGAAGTCAGACAAAATCCATTTAGCAAATTTATTGCACGCATTCAAGTGCCTATCGACAACGACGTTAACTATGTGGTCCACTGGGACACCGCTCACCCTACTGACAGTCTTCAGTATTCTACGAATTGTGACATAGTCCTTTTTAAGCAAACCAGGCAAGAATAAGGGTGAGCAATAAAGAAGAATAGTTAGGATGCAAGAGTTTATGAACTGTAAGAGGAAGGGTTGAGTTGTACCCGAGTGTCTTAACTTCTTAATGTAAAATGTCAGGCGGAATATTTTACTGGAGATTGCTAAGACATGGGAAGTCCAGGAGAGATCATAAGAGAGAATGAGTCCAAGATACTTAATTTCTGATTTGATTCCTATATCATTGTCGTCAATTTTACAACTGTCATGAGAATCGATGACTTCTTTTAACTGTCTTTTACATCTTAAGCTGAAATTAACAGTTTGACATTTAGAAGCATTCAGTTTAAGACCGTTAGACTCAGAGAATTTGCTGACTCCCGATAGAAAGCTATTTATTTTGATACAATCTAGCTGGGAGTTAACAGCCATTGAAACCGTTAAATCATCAGCATACTTCACAAAGTTTATTTCATCAGAGTGAGGCAGGTCATGCAAGAAGTGGGAAAAAAGAAAAGGAGAAAGGACAGCGCCTTGAGGGACACCAGCTTCAGTAGGTGATGAAGTGGAAGACTTCTCTTTATATATGGTGTACTGCTTTCTTTCTGAGAAATAGGAATGTCGTGGAGCCAAGTTTCTTGAAGATTTATTACACCAGTATTACAATATACATTTGAGTATAATAGAGAATGCAAGTAGTTAATCTTGTTCGATAATGACCTGCAATTTGTGCTCATAATCACATGAAGAGTCATCTGATGCACTGGAGTACACTTAAGGGATCTTTGCCACCCACCATGATGCTTTTTCTTAAGGTTATTGTTATATACTCGCAAATCATCAGGTTGAAAACATTTTAAATAATCGCGAGAGTAAGTAGTGGGATTTGGACACATAATTGAATAATTAAAACAAAATAAATTCGAGGAAATAGATGCAATATGTAGGATGGAAATTTCGGTAGCCCAAGATTTAAGCAGGCCGCCAAGTTTTGTCCTGTTTATTGCATCTCTCTTCAGCTGACTGGTCCTACGATTGGTCATTAGCTCTCATCTGTTTCATGTCACCATCGGATCGCTGTTGAACTGGTCATTTATTTCCCATTTGGTTTCCACTGGAGCAAAAATGGTCTGGCATGTAATGTTATCCATGATGCTTCAGTAGTTTCTATGGCAGTTGTCTGATCCATCTTTGAAGCATTTGTTGAACGATAGGTTTCTTGATTGGTGCATTGCATTTCTGCTGAACATCTCTGATCTTCAGTAATATCATAGTCAACGATTTTCTTGATCGAGGGCGGTGGACTGGATAATGCGACAGACAGCTCGTCGGGCAACGAAGAGACAGACATAAAATGGACCCACACAAAGACAAACTTGGAGGTTCTGATTTCCCACAAACTGGAAGATATGCAAGTGAAAAGCAACTAGTCGGCGATAGAAGAAGCATCAAAGATAGAAATTTAGGTGAACATAAAGAAGACAGAGGTGATGCAGATTCCTGGCCAACACCAGCAGTAGCAACTACAACAGACAACAATCAGCATAAATGGGAGAAATGTGAAAGAAGCAACCTCCTTCACCTACATACTTACCTGGGAAGCATCGTCTCAGCAACAGGCGGACGGAATTGATGAGGATATCAAAGCCGTGAGGATCAGGAAATTAAGGCAAGCAGGCTTTCATTACTCTCATGTTTGTGTGGAGATCAGCAGCAATCTGCATGGAAAATAAGATCCGGATTTTCAAATTCAATATGAATTCAGTGCAATTTACTACACTGATCAGAGACTTGGCGTCGCGTCACGAAGGGCTTTTCGAACAAACTACAGACTTTCATCAACAGCTGTCATTGCTCAGTGATCAATATTCGATGGCCAGCCATAATAGACCTGCAACAGGTAGGGATCTCTAGCGATAAACGAACCAACCCAGCAGGAACTGATTGTGCTACAAATGTGCTGGAACAGATGGAGGTAGATGTATCATACTCTGACAAACCAAACCGTCAACTGAGTGACACCACACGCCAAGCCATCGCTCCAGTGGAACCCGAATAGGAAGTGGTGAGTTAATTGGTCGTCAAAGTGAGGGTGACATGGAGTCCAGGAGCTCATGTGAAGAGGAGATGAAAGCATGTGAGTAGATGTGGAGCGAGGTGGAAATGTTGACACAGGACCGAACTTAATAGAGACGTGTAGCTGAAGCCCTACGCTCCTCTAGGAACTAAAGGAAGTAATATATAATATAAATGAAGGAACACAGCAGTTGTACAGGCATGGATAAGTTATTATTTAAATTACATCAATTTGGTTTATGGTGAATTTACACGGTTGCTGTCCTGTTTATGGGAACAATCTGGTAACTAGTCATTCAACGGAGCACATGAAGAAATACAGAAATATTGTCTTCACATTAACAAAAAGAATATCCAGGTCTGTGTTGGATGATGGATCACAAATACCTGGGAGAAAATGAAGCTTGAAGTCAATTCTCCTATTGAACTGTGCTGTGCACAGCATCGAATCATATTCGCGATTTATTGTCAGATGGTGTGTTACCTTGAAGTGAGTAGTATATTTGTACCACCTCGTCAGCAGTGTCATCGTAGGGGTTACATCAGAAGTGATTTCTATTCGATGCAAAGGAATATCATGCATAACCAAGTAGATTTGTTTTACTGCACCAGAAAAATGATAGTTCTCTGAATTCGGTTATTGCCGTCATTTGTAACTGCATGCTAGTCTATACGCGTAAGTTTATTAAGATGTGGGAAACTGTTTGAAAACTATTTGTATCTTTACTTTAGATCACGAATACTGCCCAAACAGAATGTTATTCAGCGTCCTAATATGATGTTACGAGGAATGTTGTGTTGGTATGGCTCAACAGCTTGAAGAATAATGTGGTATATTTTGATGTGGTTGGGTTCTCTGAGCTGCATGGTTAATTTGTGAAGCTTTCATTGCCCACCTACTAGGCAACATCTTCAGCACATACTTCCATTTCTTGAAGTGAGCTTTCAGATTTCTACACGACATAATTAGTCATCTTTCCTGATGATCTTGAACCTGTGAAAACACATAAACAACCAATCACTTCCAAGGTCACCAGGAGAGATGATTAATAAACTCGTGGAGAAATCTAAAAGCTCACTTCAAGAAATTGAAGTATGCGCTGAAGATGTCACCCAGTAGGGTGATGAAAGCTTCGCAAATTAACCATCCAGCTCAGAGAACAAAACCACATCAAAAGATCTTAAACCTGGTTAGTTGCTTTTGTGTTTCCAAACCCTCTACGCTACGTGTATTGGTACTGATTGATCCGTTGTGTCTGAGGTTTCCTTCTTATTGGTCGATAAATTTTGTCTATCTCGAAGTGTCTATTGATTGACGATACACTGGAATACCAGGCTTCTGAATATTGTCTGGCATTCTTGGTGTCTAATATTTGAATGTTGTTCTAGTTGAACTGATATCCGTGGTTTTCTGTATGCAGCGATATGAGGGAGTGGATATCATGTCTTTTGACGGCTAGCTTATATTCGTGGATACGAAGACGAATGGGACGTCCACTTTGGCTAATGTAGTGTTTTTCTCAGTTGTTACAATTTATTTTGTAGATGATGTTGGTTTTATCTTATTCGCTGTTGAGTCTTTCGGTTGACATAGAATTGAGTAAAGCGACTTTGCTGGTTTGTGTGTGACGTCAATTCCTTAAGGTTTGAAGAGTCTTGCGGTAAAAACACGCAAAAACAACCAACCATGTGCAATGTCACCAGCAGAGATGACTAAGAAACTCGTTGAGAAATCTAAAAGCTCACTTCAAGAAATTGAAGTATGCGCTGAAGATGTTGCCCAGTAGGACGGGCAATGAAAGCTTCGTAAGTGAACCATCCAGCTCAGCTGTGCGTCGGTGGCACAGTGGTTAGGACTCTCGCCGACCATGCACATGGTCCGGGGTTCGAGTCCGCACCGACGCACATCTGATATCTATGGTCGGCCTGCAAAATTTGGGCTACCGATATCCATGCTGAAAATTCCATACTTGTACCAAAAATACAGTGTGGAATCAAGCTGTAAATAAAAAAAAAAGAGAACACAACCACATCAAAATCATTCACCTGAGCTACAAATCTTCTCCATCATATATGGATATGATATATGTGTACGTAAGCGCCTTCAAGTCCAGTTTAACTTAAGTCTTCCATTAGGTCTGTGCGGTGAATAGAAGAGAAGAGACAAGCAGCAAAGTACCGGAAAAAAAAACAAGTATGTGGGTACAAATAAAACTCTAATGTACGTTGTACATTCC